CCGACTCCACAGCCCTGAATAATACAATATAAGGTTAGACAAATTTGAAGAGACTTTTGACCTCTTCAAATTAGGTTTTGTTATTATGGGTACCACAAAATGTAGCCCAACCTTTTCAAAAGGTCTGGAAGACCTATATACAAACTTTGTCTTTAGCAAGATAGCCCATAAGATTTATCATTTGATTCTTAATTCAAAAACAAGTCATGCATTTATTTCATACTTTTCTAACTCGGCCTTGACCAGGCAGTATCTGTATGACTGTCTTATTAAAGATAATGTAGCAAGAATTTTTTGTGATAATATTCAGTGGTTAGATCAGTGAAATGGTCAGCTTTTGGCAAGAGCATTTGATGTTTCTGAAATTCGGAAATAGCAAAATACTTCAATTTCTCTCCTAAACTCTATAGTTAATTTAATTTTTGTCAAGAAATACATTCAAAGAACGTTCTGCAACTCTATGTTTCAACATCAAATATAAAAAACAATGTCTTTCTTTAATATATCTCTTTTTTCATTTGCATTAAAAGTGTAATGGGATTCTGATTTGTGTATTATAAAATTAACACATTACATTTTTGAGTGACGCCGCAAATTCATGAACGTGCGAGGGAGAGAAAGAATTCTGCTTTTTATACGGCGGTCTTGAAATGTTATACCTAACTGAAGTAGAATTTTTACTTTATATTTTCTTGTGGTGAAAATAAGTGTACTTGCTGATTTGAAGAGTTATAATTATTAAATGGAAAGGATTTCTCACAGCTTCAAATTTCTTTACTTAGAAAGCAAAAGAGATTTCAAGTCAAATTCTTTGTTGCCTTGAATGCAATTAAATTTCAGAGCGAATTAATTCTGATGGAATTAATTTCATTAAAATTGGTGTCAATAAATTTGCACATGATTCACATCTAATTCTTAAATAATCTAAGCTTCTGATCATTTCCACTTCCACATTGTCATATAAATTTCATAAGCTTATATCATCATTAACATTAAAATTTTTAATAGGGGTTAAAATAAATCCATTTCATCACTTAACATTAATACATGTTGCTGCATTGCCATCGAGATAGGACTTCAAATAGTTAAATTTATCAACTTTGCTTAATGTAGGATTATTATGAATAGCCAGCTTTCAAATAAATTGTAAAAATCAAACCAACCTGAATTTGTATCCATAATATTTGCCAATGTGCAGTTTTGATAATTTTATGTTTACATTTTCAGTTTCAGGATTAATCAATTGAATATTTTGTGAAACTGTATCAACCTGGATAGAATTAGAATTTGATTTCTTAATTTTAGAATGAAGTATCGATTTCAAAAAGATTATTTTTTCTTTAATTTCTTCTGAAGCTTCTGTGTCCTCAGATATTGCCACAACAATCAAAAGATTTTCAGTTTTATCATTTAAAGAATTTAAGTCATTTCTTTTCTGATTGATTATTCCAAAAATGCTTTTAACTGATCAACTATTTCATTTTTGTTTGTGATCATTCCTTCTCTTTTTTTGTCAACACTGAATGCACAGAGGTGCACTTCAACTTTGGCAAGATTTTCTGACATGTTTAATCTCTATGCAGGTGTAATTCAATAAAAGTTTGCTTATCTGGATTCAATGTGTCATATCCAATTCCTGACCGATGCACCAAAATGTTTCCTATACAGATTCGTATCAAGTAAATCCTTGGTCAATGATAATGAAATTAATTAATGTTCAGCATATCACAATCTGATGATCTTACACATCTCTTTCTCTGTCAAATCTCACATCAGTCTTTGCAAATACATGCAGTAGTTCTAGTGTCATTATATATCATTTGGCCTTAACCTTGCAGCTGACGTTCTAGTTGCTTCCGGAGCTATGATCTGGTCTGTGAGCAGGCCAATTGCATTCAGCGGCATGTTCTGTAATGATAAGGACTTGAAAATATTGAAACCCAAATATGTCTTCACCAAATCATCGCCACAGTATAGGAGACAGTAAAATATCAAAATAAGACACTTAATCTTCATGGTTCCATGCATGGCAGACAGTCCAAATGAATAAAAGCATTTTATTGTAAAGCTTTAATTAAGGTATGATTCATTATACAGTCAAACGTCGTTAATCCGGACTCGTCCGCGATTCTGGATTATAGATCATCAGTTTAAATCTGGTAAGATGGCATGCAGAAATTATAAAATTAAAAATATGAAACCATCATTTATGAAATAAGGAACAATTATGATCTAAAGGGTATCAAAATTTAAAAAAAAAAAAGCTTAATATTTATTTGTTTACTTTATTAAACATTTCTTTCAATGTAAGTTGTCTAAGTTGCTTCGTTTTTTATGTGATAATACATTCTCTTTAATTCTATAAACAGACATAATTTCTTGTTCAGTTACAAAGTTCCGCTGTTCAAGTCCTATAATTGCTGTGTCGAGAATACCGACTAATTTGTCAATCGAAATTTTTTCGTTTTCAATAACCTCTGTGTCACTTTCTTTGCTATCGGAAGCGAATTATAATGACGAGGAATCTGATTTAAATCATATCAGAGTACAATCATATCAAAGTACGGAGTACATCAAGATGAAATACTACATTTAGTAAGAAATTATAAGCCAAATAAAATAAAAACATCTGCCCTGAAGCTAAGGATAGTTCTGACAGATCAACTTCCAATTCATTGTGCACCGGCCGCGGCGTTAAAGATAAACAAAGTTTAGATAAACAAACGTTAAAGTTTAGATAAACAAAGGATATGCCTTTATCCATTTTTTGCAGCATTTCCACTTTTTGTTTAATGAACTTCGAAACATACTTTCGCTTTGTAGATCCTTTACATATATATAAATATATATCAGAAATTCTATTTGGCATAATCGAAAGTTCAAGCTTATTTTTATAAAATTGCTCTAACAGTCTGCAAAAAATAATAAGCCGAATCCAATTCGAAGATTAAGGAACAACGCAATCTGCAACATTAACTGAATTAGATAATTTTAGCTTAGCTTATACGGTCTGTTATACATTAAACGCGCATTCGTAAACGTATTTTGCACACGCGTATTCGCAGCCGTAAAGGTCTTTCGTGTGTCAATGCGATGCATGCGCAGAAAGTTTGTAGCTTTGAGGTCCGGATTATAGATCATTCCGGATTATGGGTGTCCGAATTAACGGCTTTTGACTGTACATCATTCTATGTGACATTGCCACTATCTTTTTTGGCAGTGAAACTTTGTATCATTGGAAATCAAGCTTGATATTTATTGCAGTAATTTTTAGATTAAATGTGACTGCATACCAATAAAATTTTGAAATTCAAAAAAAAAGTTCATATTCAAAGGCAAGTGGTTTGGGAAAGCTTAGCGTGCAGTACAAATGTTTGTTACCATTGTTGGTGCTCATAACTACCAAATGTGGTTTAAATCACATCTCCCTTCTCCTAGTAAATCACTAAAACTTCCAGTTTTTAGTATTTAACCTTCACTAAGAAAAATGTTTCTGTCATAATTTATTGTGGACATGTGTAGAATTTTTTATGAAGATTCAATTATTGTCTCGTCATTTAATATTTGTTTTTAATTTTGTTTTATGACAGTGTATGGTGCATCACTAAGTTTATCCACAATAGTATGCAAATTAGTTATTCATTTTGTTTTCATCATATTTAAAAGCACTTTAATAAATAAAAGAATTCTTCCTTATTTAGGATTTTCTCAGTATTAAAATGTAAGAAAATTATGAAATAAAATTAGCCAAAGGGCATAGAATTTAGAATATCTGCTTAAATACTAATAAATAGAATCATATTATAAATAGCTCAGTAACCATAATACTGCATAAGTGAATTTGGAGTTTATTTAAAAGTGCATCACTGTGCGATGTGAAAGCCTTACATAAACTCTCACCCTCCACCTTTGAGAATCTTATTTTTTCAAGGTTGGCATTTATGTACGTTATTCTCTTTTAATAATCATCTTCAGTACCCTTTGTATGACCATGTCATCATAGTTGTACCCTATGTATTTCCATTTCATGATGATAATTTTTGGAAAGTCACAGGCAACATGTAATATCTCAGAAATCTCACATGCTAGGAAGGCATCTTATCTTTTCACCTCTTTTTCAGTCAGTCAGCTAACTTCTCTATTCATTTTGCAGTCTTTTATCTGACTTTAAAATCCACATTCTGTATCTATCTCCAATTACCCCTGTGATACCAATCATGTGAGCCACTCCTGAAAATGTTTAGATTAGATGCTTTTAATATTATAATGCCTAACTTCTTGTGTTCAGTGCTAAACATATTACCACATGAAACTTTAAATTTTCTTTTAGCATAACAAATCCATATTATTTGACTTATTACATCACTTGATATATTTGCAGAAGTGTATTATAATTTTAATTTGCTAACTATTTTCCGTTTTAAATTCAGTATTTAGATAATCCTCCTTCTCACTATGTGTGCCTAAATTTAGAAATTTTGTAATTGTCATTTATGAAATATTCTTCTTTGCATATATAAACTAGCTTAGTGTCTTTATCCTGATTCTGTAATATCTTAACAGATGTAGCAACAAAGCTTCATCATTGATTACAAGAAAAATAGTGTATCAGTATATTTTTAAAATATATATCATTTCATACACTGTTCATATATTATTTACTAATGTTCATACTTTTAGAAAATTTAGCAAACTTTATTAATTATTGATATGAATATGAAATAATATTTAATGATTTGTATTTTTGTCAGTAATACATAGTTAATAGATCCATACTTATTCAATATAGGCATGATGCATTTGGCCAGTGTGATGCTTTATAATGTATTAATGAGCTATTAATTTCATAATATGAAATTTTATAGCTTCATATCTTGTAAAATTTTTACTCTCTGCTGTCACCAAACTATTTGGAAATATATATTGGATAGCTTCCATTTTTTACTGTTTGTGTATTTATTGAAATATTAAAGCTTAAAAATATATTTTTTTTTTTCCAGAGATGGTTTTTCAGTTCTCACTTCACACCTGTTTACAAATGGACTTTTGATGATCAAAATAACATGTCAAATCATTTGAAGACATGTCCGTATTTTAATCGAATTGCACAAAAAAGAGCATTTGGATATGGAGATGGACCAAATAATGTTCATCCTAAGCCAGATAAGCGATATAGTGATCCTTTGAAGGAGTTGTATGAAAACAGTACAACAAAGCTGTGATAAAAAATGGAAAACTAATGGCTTAGGGTTTTTACCATTATTAATTTAATTAGGATGCTTGTTTATTTATTGCAATGTTTTGTGATGGCAGCAGGATTCTGCTAAAAATCTTAATTAAATATTGTATTTAAGACCAGTGTTCTGTGCTGTAGTTTTCTTAATCAGTGTTTGTAATTCAAACATCGTTATAACACTGCATTGTGCCATTTAATAATGCATTTTGTAGGGAAATAATGTTAATTTGTAGGATTCTTAGAGATCTATTGTATTTGTATTTACAAAGATTAATCTAAAGGATTATTGTGTTTGTAAAAATTTGTAATGAAAGAAGAAAATGTTTCTATAACATACGTTTCAGAGGTAATACCTTTTGAAACAAGCAATAGAGTCAAAAATAACATTCAGTTTACTATTTTTGAACATACAAAATAGTATACAACAGTGCCTTGAAATAAACATCTAGAGCAGTTAATTATTTTTGAAATGTTTTAATAGCATTCCATAAAAAATTATTTCAGTTTTTGTGAAGTGTGTCTCTTGAGAAAATATTTTTGCAAAAGATTCTGCTAGAAATGAAGCACATGTCAAGAAATTAAATAAATAAGTAAGTAAATAAAGTTGTTTTTTATTATAGTAACTCTACTTAAATGTTTATCATTATTTGCTATGCAGGATTTAAGTTGATGTGCTTAAATGTTAAATAATATGTTTTGTAAAATGTGTTAAAAACTAATTATTTTGTCCCTTTTCTTTATACCAGTATTAACAATTTATGAGAAACTCTCGCTAGTATATCAGTATCAAATTTAAAATTAGGCATAAAGGTAGCCTTAGTTCATTTTAGATTTTGAATAAAACTCTTGTCAATTTTGAGAGGGCTGAGACAAAGGTCTGTTTGAAGAGGAGATTCACCCCCCCCCTTAACTTTAAATGTGCAAATATATTTTAAGAGTTTGTTGTTCTTAGGTATGGATTAATAACTTTGCTTTAACCTGTGATCATAATGCCATTCTCCCAGTGCATTCTGAATATTTATTTTTGACTCTTCAGTGAACTCACTTGCACGTGAAATCAAGATAAGGATTTTTTTAGTGATAATTCCCGACCTAAAATGTACAATTTCTGAATGATACCTTATGCAAAGTATATTTAAACTATCTTAGTTATGTGAAATTTAAATTTTAATTTGTTCATTATTATTAATTTGTTATATTTTTATCTTGTTTTGAATCTTTAACCACTTGTGCTAAAAAGACGTGCATCGAGATGCTTTTTTCTCAAACTGCGAACGACATGAACACCACGTCGATAGGCATTTATCACAAAAATGAAAATAACGTGGTGCACACGTTGCCTAACAACGAGATTGTTTATTTCTAAAATAACTGCTCTGGATTGCACTCGCAGACGCGGAGCGGCATAAATGAGACACTTTACTGCTTGTTATATTGTAGCGCACGGTACCGCAGACGCGGAGCGACGTAAATAAGACACTTTACTGTTTGTTATATTGTAGCACACGGCACTGCAACTGTTAAGTTTAGTCGTAGTGCAAGTGGTTAAAGTTCTTTACAAATAATTAGTGATAAGATTAGGCTTGTTATCTTTTCTTAAAGTAAAAATAATTAGCTTTTATTTCTCAGTATATTGAATTAAGAAGTTATTTTATAAAATTTATAATCTAAAACACTGTGATTATAAAGTCATAATTTCTGTTAGTCAGTGGCAGCATTTAAGTTGCATTTTTATGGGTTTCTTTGTGTATGTGTGTGTGTGTGTGTGTGTGTGAATAATACTGTAAAAGTTATATTAAAAGATTTTTTTAAAAACTCTTTGTGTGGTGTTCATTTGTTTCATAGAATAGAATACATTGGCAATCATAAAATATTAATGGGCAAAATTTGGAGAGAAAATTTAGCTCAACACCTTTTATCTATTGCACGAGATTCTCTGGAACTTGGATCATAAATCAGAAAGCAAACATTATCATTTAACATTGAAACATGACAGTCTTGATTATTGATATTGATTTAACCCTTTCCGGCATGCTACCTTTTAAAGTTGGAGTTTTGATTTTTAAAAAAAGGTAGGCAGTCTAATTAGGCCTAGAGGAGTACACAAGTAAAATTTTTGTGAAGATAGCACTTATCGTTTAATTCTGTGGGTATGCGCAAAGTGGGCACACTGATTGAATAGAGCTTCAAAAAAGAGTGCTGAAATGAGCATTGTTGTCAATGAACTGACCGATGAGATGCGGAAAAACAAAGAATACAGACTCTCAGTTGTCCTAGATTATCGTTGAGCCCATTCTGGGCACACCTAAGGTTCGCCGTTTGATTTTAGGCAAGATTTCAAGGTAAAAATTTAAAACTAATATAGAATAAGGAGATTAGCATACAGCCAAAAAAATAACATAGAAATTTCTTTTCAAACAATTCCTTTTATACCCTATAAAAAATCTGGAAGATTTCTTTGAAAAATGAGGGTTCTTAAAAAACTAAACATGGCTAAAATATATGGACTGGTTTGTGTTAAGTTGCCATCTACTATAAATAAAGAAGGTTCAGAGTAACCTATAAATCCTTTTTCATTCAATTTTTCTGTGCGTACAGAAGGAAATTTTTAGGTGTGCCCAAATTTGACACACTGTGCTGCCAAGGGTAACAGTGGTTAGTAAATACTGTCAATCAGTAAAGCTGTTAAATTAATTATAGGTAAAGAACTGGACTAGAGATCAATAAAAATAGGTTTTGCGTGATTTTTCCTAGAAGTACTATGTATGAAATATGCAGCATGTAAAATTTCAAAATGAAAAATTTTTAGCATCAAGCTCAGGAACGTCTATGTTATTATAACCTTTTCAGCAGTCAGTAAATGGGGAAAAATTTACAAATCAGAAATCTGATACACCTTCATGTGAAGATAAGATAATGTGATCAGAATTCTGGATAAGTAGTACAATGTTTCCTTTTCGAAAGATTTGATGATAAGCAACTCAGCCGTCTCATCTAATATCTACACTGATAAGTCAAGAATCCCGTCTGCTCACGATCGTCAGTTTCTTTACCTAACCCTGGAATCTCATTGAATCAGTGCCGCATTATTTGACAGGGCATACCGAATTCATCTGTATCAAAATTTGCAAGAAAGCAAATTCCACTCTGTACACCAATGTTATATTCTTTGCTTCATGTTTTATTGAAAAATAGGAAATGTTTCGCTTTTTCCGTAAAATAACTTAAAGGAGCATGTCTCAGAAAATTAACTGAGAGGAAACTTAAATTTTGGGATAATCTGAAGAGGAATGTGAAAACGTCGATTTCATATATCAGGGAGCATCATTTTTGCAGATATGTCTGCATTATGCAATGATGTTAAATAGTACCATAACAGCTACTCAGTGGGTGCATCGGAAGTCAGTATGAGATTAATGATAGCTGTGTTCAGGCCTTAATTTCTAAAATTAGAAGTGATGAAAGGTCATCAGGAAAGATAATGAAATAATTATAATTTAGCAAAATGTAATGACATAAATAAAAATTTAATAAATTAACTGAAATCATTGATAAATAATTAAATAATAACACAAAATACCGGACCCCGTCTAATTTAGGGCTCTGACTGAAGTTGCAGTTTTACTCAAAAACTAAGAAATAGCCGAGTCAAGCTCCGGCTGAGTGTAAGCCCTGATTATACAGTATCACGTACTCAAGAAAATGATGATAGTAATAACAATTGTTCTTTTTTTAGCAGCATACCAATGAAAAAATTTTAAACGGTTTAAGTGGTGCGGAAATGCTTGAAACATTTCTTGACTATGGAAAGGAAATTTTAGTGGAGAAATGTAGGCATGAAATCAACGAGACAAAAGTCCAGTAAATTTTACCACGGTATCTTGACAATTTATAGAGTGGTTATAATTAAAATGACCCTGTTCATACACGTGTAGAACCCCTTTTGCCTATCGGATTTTGATGAAACTTTGTATATACATTATATGGACAATGGGAAAAAGATTTCTGCTATAACAAAATAGTTCAAATTTTGACCACTAGATGACAATTTCCAAAAATTCCGTATGCAAAATTAGTCGAACCTGTAAAGAGACTTGCAGTCAGAGTTCTGCGTACCTTTTGTCATAGTTAAAATCTTTTATCAGAACAGCAGCAAAAGCGTAAGCTGCACTGTGTGAAATCGCCGTTTGAAGGGGCCCATGTCAAAGAATGATTTGAAGAAGATGATTATGAAATTTTAAGAGACTGGAGACCTGCTGCAGGAAGAGGGTGGAAACTAGTTGCGAATGAAACTGCGGAAGAATTCCCTACTGCTGCAGTTGAAAGAGCCTCGAGTCGACTAGATATCTAGTTGGCCTTGCTCGAGTTCACGCTATTCATCAGCAAGTGCTAGATCGGTGTCACGTGAGTTGACGATTCCTTGGTCGACTGTACGAACAGTTCTGCGATCCATTTTAAAATGGAATCCGTATAAGATCCACGTAGTGCAAATGCAGAACTACCAAACATTGAATTTGTTTTCCGACTTTTGGCGAGAATGGATGTTGGTGACGCGTGGCCTCGTAAAATTGTATGGTCAGATAAGGCACACTTTTCTTTAGATGGAGCTGTGAATAATCAAAATTACTTCACCTCCTAATGTCCTGCACCAACAACCACTGCATTCTGATTACGTGACTGCAAGATGTGAATTCACTGCTGATTTTATCCTCTGATCATTTTTCTTCGAAACTCTCACTCATCAATATCCTAAAATGTGCTCTGTCACAAGTGCACGGTACTGTGAACTGCTTCGACAGCAAGTCATTCTTGCTTTACAGGAACGGCAATGCTTGCAGACCACTGTCTTCACGCAAGATGGAGCAACTCCTTGCATTGAACGGGAAGTCAAAGAATTGCTGTGTGCTAACTTTGGCGACAATTGTGTAATATCCAGAGCTTTTCCGAATGCCTGGCTTCCTAATTCACCCGACTTAAATTCCTATGATTTCTGGTTCTGGGGATTCCTAAAAGAAGGTGGTTTTTTTTTTTTTTTTTTTTTTTTTTTTTTTTTTTTTTTTGTGTGTTGTGTGTGTGTGTGTGTGCTTATTACGTTCTCCGCCTTTAGGCACTATACGAAAAGGGAGGGATGCCCCGTGGAGGTCTTTTTAAGACGTGTGTGTTTTAAGACGTGTCTTCCGTACACGAAATTGAAGGCAATTCATGTATAAGTATACATTTTAAGGGAAACTGGCTCGTATCTACCGTTACACATGATGAAAACCACGAAAACGTCCATGCAGCCAGCTTGTTCGCCGGGACTCGAACCCCAAACCAAACTACCAGTGTTCAGCGTCTTTTACCGCTCGGTCGCTGCTGGGCCAGCAGTGTTTAAGAAGGAGGAATTAGGACTTTAAATTGAAAGCCGCTATGCTGCTGTAACTGAATCGGCGGATACAACGGTACTACATACTTCTAATAGTATCGGGAAGGAAAATATACCCATCATTCTCAAATAAACTCTCGTCAATTTATTGCACTTCCTGGCATATAATGTTCTGACGTATGGGTGAAGGCTTTTCTTTAGTAAAAAGTCGGATAAAACAATGCATTCATCGGATCCCGGGTTAAAGGTTACTCACACAAAGCATGAAGCCACCGCTTCTTTGAATTTAGCCATTCTAACAGAATTCCATGACTTACCAAAACCAGCTGTCTTTACCACAACCGTTCATCCTGCTAACTGAAATTGACATTCATCTATGTAAATAACGCTCTTCCAATTTGCATGTCTTAGATTTCGGTTAAGACGGCACGCAAGCGAAGAGCAAATTACGATGAAGAACAACTCGCTAAGTACACTTGAACATGTTTTCCTGTGGACAAGGAAATGAGCGCAGGTACAGTGGATCGAGAGCTGACTGTGCATAGTGGTATGACATTGCCTGTGGATTTCCAGTTCCTGCGAAACCAGTACTTTACCGGTGACAGTAAACTTCAATAATTAGTGCAAACTTCAGTTCTCTGAGGAAGTATACCGTTTAGTGCTGGGCTTTAAGACATTCATCATTGGTAAATTAGCGGTGAAATTTTCAAATGACTGCTGTTTAAGATTTAAAGGCTTCACACACGTGGCTCAGAAAATAAATTATATATCTTGCTCTATTATGCTTCTAGGGTTAAACACACATGTTTCGCATTTTTTACTCTTTTCCTGTTTATGATGATGTGTAACGCAGAGGTAGTTTGCATATAATGTCATAGATTTTCGGTAGTCTTCTGAGCATTGAGACTACTTAATGCTTTGCCCAGTTAATTATGTAGCACTGAAAACTCGTATTAGAAATTTCGGATTATTTTATAAACCAAAAAAGGGCCATTAAAATGTCATATATAAGCATTAAAAGTAGAGCAAGAATGCAAAACAAACCATTTTTACGTAGAAACATGTAGCCGTAACCGTCATCTGAATATGACAGAGGACGTTATTTGCCAGATACTGCATCAGGCACAATGAATCATGATCATTCAAGGTGTTGATGTTGCAACAGTAGGTTGCAACTTTACAATAGCATTGAAATAGTTGATGTGTGCTTCGTTTATGGGGCAGTAAATGGCAATAGGCATCTGGGATGCAATTGTATTGTATGGGTTCCCACATAATCGCTGTCTCTCATCATCAAACATCTGCGCTTTTCCATCGCAGACTGCTCAAAACTTGATCTTTCGATATAAGCGGCCATTATAGACGAGACAAATTGACACACTCACCTGTTATGGAGAAAATGGCCATACACGAAATTGAAGACAATTCATGTATAAGTATACCATTTCACATC